CAGACCCCAATCTTATCTAAAGGAATATTGGCAACTGATTGCTGCTAGATGAGGAACAGCTGATCTTCTTAAAACAAGGAATTCTAGATAGGCTGACTAGATTCAGTAGATGATCAAGCACTGGTGAATGGCTGGGGGCATTGACAATGCAGTGGACAGTAACAGGGATTACAGAGCATATGGGCTCCAGTCGGGGGTGGGGGAAGAATATGGAAGAGTGCCATTTGGGAACTGGGTGTATAGATGAATAAGATTGTTTGGGATGTTCTATATGAAATACAAAAAAATCAACAAGTAAAAAGAGTTATATTTGAGGAAGACACATAAAAATTGGCTTCATGTTAATTAGTAGAGGTGAAACACATTACCATTGAAATCTACCTGATGATTTTTATATCCATGCTTAGGTGGATGTCAGAAAGTAATCGACTGTGAGTAGTAATAATCAGATACATAGAGATTAGAGACGCATGTGCAAACATGTTAGTAGCATTAAAAGTGAGTTTTTCTGTATGAAACAGTATATTTTAAAATGAAATGGAGATCTTTTTTAAAGGTTAAAACCTCATTCAATTTTGTATCTTATAAGATACTGAGTTCAATATTGTATAACTGTATTAATTCAACTGTGAACCTAAAAATTTACAGCCAATTTTGAAAGAGATATATCTTAGCTTTGGAAATTGTTACTGAATATGTTAATGCTGAAATGAAATGCTTCTTCTAATCATGTGGTTTTAAATAAATAATTTTAAAAAAGTGTTCAACATCTGTAGCCATGAGGGAAATGCAAATTAAAACTACTTTGAGATTTCATCTCATCCCATCAAGAAAACAAACAACAGCAAACGCTGGTGAGGGTATGGGGAACGATGAACCCTTATTCACTCTTGGTAGGCATGTAAACCCAAGCTGGCACTATGGATATAAAGTGTCTCAGAAAATTAAAAATAGGACTTTCATCTGACCCACCTGTACCACCACTCCTGGGCGTGTAGCCAGACTTTATGTCCAGAGGCTCAGTTGACAGAATCCTTTTCTAGAATGCACAAAGCACTGTGTTTGATGCCTAGTGCATATAAACCAAGCATGGCACTTGGTGTAATCTTAGCACTCTGGAGGTGGAGGCAAGCAGGTCAGAAGTTCAAGGCTATCCTTGACTACATAGCCAAGTTTGAGTCCAGCCTGGGTTACATGAGACATTTTTCACAACAAACCCTGTGTATTCCACCACAGGATACTTGTACATTCATGTTTATTGTTGCCCTTTTCACAATAGCAAATAAATGGAATCAGCCTAGATGTCCATCAGATTTGTGTGTCTGTGTGCATGCATGAATGCATGCGTGCCTGTGTGTATACACTGCTGGGAACTGATCCTAAAGCCTCAAACATCCTAAGCAATCTACCACTGAGCCATATTCCTAGACTCAGGCTTGGTGTTCCTCAGTAGATGAATGGATAATGAAAATGTGTTTATATATATATATATGTAGTGGAATTTTATTTACCTGTAAACAAAAGAGAAATTATGAAAACTTCCAGGAAAATGGACAGGCCTGGAAAATATTACATTAAGTGAGGTAACCCAGGCTCAGAAAGATGAACACCATATATTTTATTTCATATACAGATCCTAACTTTTAATTTTTATATATGTATATTTATGTAAATGTGGGAAGTGGCCAGAAAACTAGAAAGGGACCCATGAGACGGGAAAAAAGGATTTAAGGTAGGGACTGGAAAGAGTAATAGAACATATTTGGTTTGTAAGCGGAAAAGGAAATACTATAGTGGAGAAATGGGGGAGAAGAGTTGGCGGGGGGGGGGGTCAGAATCAACCAAAACTAAATATGCATGAAACTGCTATAAAGAAACATATTACTTTCTATGCTAATTAAAAAGTAAAATAGCTGGTGTATTGACTCACACCTTGAATCCCAGCACTCTGGAAGCAGAGGCAGGCAGATCTCTGTTCAAGGTTAACCTGGTTCATATAGTGAATTCTATACTCTTGTCTCAACAAAACAAAACAACCCTCAAACTAAACAATAACAAAACCTCAGGTACAGATACTATTAAGTTAGTATTAAAAATGATTAAAGGGGGCTGGAGAGATGGCTCAGCGATTAAGAACACTGACTGTTCTTGCAGAAGACCCAGATTCGAATCTCAGCACCCACATGGCAGCTAACAACTGTCTGTAACTCCAGTTCCAGGGGATCTGACAGCCTCTTCTGTCATCCGCAGGCATTGCCCAACATAGGTGCACTTACTTACATGCAGGCATAACACTCATACACATAAAATAAAAATAATAAAAAAATGATTAGAGGGATTATAAATCGGCATAAAAGGTATCCATGTGGATTGAAGCAGAAAACAGTAATGTCGTTTATCATTGTCACTCTGAAAAATGTGTGTAAAAACAAAAACATGAGGAACTACAATGATTTGGGTGTGTCACCAAGTATGTGTGTGTGTAGTTTCCTAGGAAGCTGATATTAATTATTGTGTGCATTTCCCAACACTGTGATGAGATAGGAATTAGTATTATTCTTCAATTAACAATTCTCACTTGAGCGATAAAGAAGCTTAACTTATTATAAATGTTTTCAAATATGTACAGAAATAGAATAGTAGAGTGAACCCAGTGTCCCAACTACCTGGTTTTAGCACTTGCTGGTTAGCATTTTTAGTAAGTTTCAGAGTACGGGTTTGAATTCATATGTATTTTATTCCAAAACTAGTGCTTTTAGTTATGATCCTATGCTATGACTTCTTTGTTTTGTCTGCTGTTGCTATTAATATTATAATTGCTTGATATTTTGGTGAAATGGACATGAAAAAGTTCGTAATGATTATGGCATTATAGTTGTGAGGTTTACTTACGAGATTGAGAAAACAATTTCTTTTAGTCATATGCAGTTTATAACAAGTGTTTTTTAGTTATAGTATTTGGCAAAGACAAAACTTGCTGATACACTTCATCCTGTTTTATAAATTTTTGACCCATTCATCAGACTCTGACTACCCTAAAGATAAAGATTATGATGTATTAGTCTTTCTGACTGGTGGCCTTCTGCAGATTGAGAAACTGTGTAATTATTAACTGTGGTAATGGATATGTTCTTGCTGGTTTCATCTGGTATCGTAATGAGCTTTAACCCTCTGAGTGCACCTGAACAACCTAGAATCTTTGAAATTCATCAATTGCCTATGGCTAATTCGTGTATGTTTACTATGATATTTTATTTCTACCAGCCGTCACCACTCTCCATCCTCCACTCACACTGTCATCATCCCTATAAACTATAGTACTTAATAACAGCACCCTTTGATATAATTTAAAATTTTAAATTATTATTGTTACTGTTGTGTGTGTATAGGTGTGAGGGCAGGTGTGTGCATGCCGTGGCATGAGTGTGGAGGTAAGAGGACAACTTTTGGGATTCTTCTCTTTCCTTCCACCATGGGTTCCAGGGATTGAACTCAGGCTGTCAGGCTTGTGTGATAAGTGATTTTATCCCTTGAGCCATCTCGCTGGCCCTGGTATAATTGTTTAATTTACTAATTTTTTTAATAAATCAGGGCTAGTTTCTAGTTAATTTCTGAAGGGGTGGGAGTCCCGCACTTAAATAAGTGAAGGCACAGTGAAATGAAAAGCCCTGAGTTTTACAGAGTTTTGATTCATCACAGACACCCTTGCCCTGGGAGATTTATTTGAGGCATCAAAGCTAATTTGTGTTATCCCCGTATATTTCACTTTCATCCCCTGCCCAAAGGAAGGAGGGCCTTGAGTTTTTATCATTGTTCTGTGATACTGTCAGATGTAGTGATGTTACAAATACAGATAGGTCTGAAGTTGAAGAGTTAGCTCAGTATAAATTTGTAAAGCAGGGGTTGGAGAGATGGCTCAGCAGTTAAGAGAGCACTGGCTGCTTTCACAGAGGACCTGAGTTTGATTTCCAGCACCCACATGGTGGCTAACAACTGTCTGTAACTCTAGTTCTAGGGGGTCTGATGCATTCTTCTGACCTTCATGGGCATTGCATGACACAGGTACACTTACATACATGCAGGCAATACACTCATACACATAAAGTAAAAATAATAAATAAAATATTTTTTAAAAATTTGTAAAGCATAATTGGATATGTGGCAGTGAAGTGAAGAGGATTAGATACAGTTCTCTAGAGATCTACAAAATAAAGAGACAGCCACAGAAGAAGAGAAAGAAAAGGAAAATCAGAGCATGAAGGAACCAGTAACTAGTTGGGAAAGAGCAGTGTTCTGGAAACAAAAGGAACAAGAGTGTTTCACAATTAGAGCACTGTGAGTACTTATTTGACCATTTGGACTTTGTTTTTATCTTAATAGAGATAGGAAATGAAAGTCAGATTTCAGGACATTGAGAAAATGCTAAGTGAGGGCACAGAACCAGGGGAATGTCTTATGTGCTTTCTGTACATCTGGGAGACTACATACAGCAGGTCTGACCCTTGGGTAAGCCAACTAGGACATCTTTCCTGGGCCCTATGTTGGGTTGAGGAGTAGAGATGATTACTAGATTATATTTCACTACTTTTTTTCTGAACATTATTAAAATTGAGCATCAAAATTTTGTGATTAAGCATTGTCCTAGGAGCCTATGAAAAATGTAGGCAGTAGGCAGTCCCAAGCTTGTTGTGCTGGCCTTGGCTTCTCCTTTCTATGGGCACCCTTTTTTAAATTCTGTATTATTTCTTGTCTCTGTAATTGTCACTTTGTGTCTCCTGTTAGGCTATAAGCCCCTTACATTTCCTTATTATTGTTGACTTCCCAGTACTTAGCATAGTTTGAGTCTCGAACAACTCGATTAGTAAATAAGTCTTTTAAAATCCAAAGTAATTGGATGGTCCCATGGATTTTAAAAATTAGAGTATTTGAGGAAAGGATTGATAAAGTTTCAAATGGCAGAAGATAAGGGTTGAAAACTGACCGTTGCGTTTGTGTCTTAGGAGGTCCTTCTATACTGGAAGCACTGGAGAAAGTTGCTGTAATAGAAGATATTTAAGTGGGCTGAGAGAAAGTGAGAACAAAGAACACAGAAGTTTCCTTTTGTTTTCCTTTATTTTAAAAGATTCAAGGAAGAAACAATTGGAGAAGAAACACAAAGAGAGGAGAGTAAGTTATTGGTGGCTTTCAGGTTGGTGGTTTCCTTTCACTTTCTCTTGGTTTTGATAAGCATTTTGATTTTTTTGTGGTGCTATTTGGGGCCTCCTAGTGGTGACTCTAATAATGACATATGAATAGTTAAACATCTAATATAGCAGTTGGCCCATAAATAGGTTATGAGGGTTAAACAACGGTGGGACATGTGGCAATTATAGGAATGCCTAGTTCTTCCAATGAGTCATAACTTGACACTTAAAATTACTATAACTTTGTCTCCAGAATAATTCAGTATTATAAGGTGTTTGAAAATTGTAGTATATTTATTTCAGCTCTATTACTTAACAGCTGTTGTCATTGTTCTCATATTGAAGTGTTAGTGATGATGCCATTGCTCTTTACCTCTTGAAGCATTCTATTCTGTCTGAAGATTTAGAAAGAATTGCCTTAATTACCAAATAAGAATTGGCATTATGAAAATAATACACATTAATCATTCATCACAACAAAAATTTAAATATAGAAATACTTTTAAAATGTTTATAATCATGGTCCTTTATGACTTTTTTTTTTTAGATGAGGTCTCACTGTGCACTCCTGGCTGACCTAGAACTCACTGAGTAGACTATGCTTACTTTGAACACACAGAGATCCACCTGCTTGTCTCCTGACTGCTGGGATTAAAGGCATGCAACCACCATCCTGGCCCATTTTTCCCCCTTCTTTAAATTTTTGAGACTGAGTCTTGCAATGTAGCCCCAAGCTGGCCTTGAATTTGTGAGCTTTTATTGCCTTTGCCTTCAAAGTGCTGGGATTAGAAGTTTATGCCACTGTACCCAGCCAATTGTGGTCTAGGATTCTTTTTTTTTAATATTGTAAAATATTTCTGAACATTATAAAGAATATTTCTGTAAGCACATCCAGTTTTTAAAAGTGAAGAATGAAACATTGGCAGTGTAGTTGATGACTTTTGGGTACTCCTTTTAATATCCCCATTCCTCCTTGCCAAAGGCAACCACAGTCCTCATGTCATTCCTCAGGAACGTTTTGTAAGAATTTGGGGTGAGAAGGCAACGTGATAAGGAAGTAGAAATAGAATCCAGCTTTCAACAGATGTGGATAGCTTATTAGATACAAGGGGTAGGCAACCTTTCTGTGGATATGAAGGTTGGTGCATCAGGGTTGGGGGAGGTCTAGGGTTTACAGGTGAGCCCAGAAAAGGGGCCATGCCTTCCCAGAATTCTAGAAGACAGGGCATGCCTCCTTGGGTGGTATCCTGTTCCTCCCCTGGGTTCAGGGAAGATGAGATGGGAGTTCTGATAGGGGATTTGATAAGGAACCAGATCTTCAAGAAGGCTGATAAGAAACCAGATGTCCTTTGCTAGGGGCCATATATTCTGAAGATGTATCTCCCTTCTGGGTAGGGGCCTGGGTAGACAGGTGGTCAGTTCCTTCAGCCATGTTAGGCTGGTTTTCCTTCACCATCCACCTTATTTTCTAATTAATTTCTTCTCTTTCTCTCTCTCTCTCTCTCTCTCTCTCTCTCTCTCTCTCTCTCTGTGTGTGTGTGTGTGTGTGTGTATGTGTGAATGTATGTTTGATGTGTGTGGAGTGCACACGCCATGGTGCATGTTTGGAGGCAAGAGGACAACTTTACTGAGTCAGCTCTCTTTGTACCTTTACATGGGTTCTGGGGCTCAAACTCAGGTTGCCAAATTGTTTTTTGAGACAGGGCTTCTCATGGACCTGGGGCTTGCTGATTAGACTATGCTGACTGTCCAGGGAGTTCCAGGAATCTGCCCATCTCCACCTCCCTGGTGCTGGGATTACAAGCATGTGCTGGGGCTGGTTTTTACATGGGTTCTGGGGACCAAACTCAGGTCCTCATGCTCGCATAGCAGGTACCTTACCCACTGAGCTATTGCTCCTCTTCCTTGTTTTATTCTCAGGAATATTTTAAGCAATACATTCATGTCATAAGTTATATATTCTTTTTTTAACACTAAATATTCTCAACATTGCATTATCCATTTAAAATTATGTTTGTAAGATGCATCGATGTCAAGGTGGTCTCTTGTTCATGTACTTTTGCTGCAGTATAGCAATACCTCTCTGAACTTGTTTCCATTCCATTGTCTTCTTCATGCTAGGGTATTTTAAATATGTGTTTAGAAAGGCATACATTTGGAAGTATACTTGTCTCCTACAATCACTCTTTTCCATGTTTTCTATGTATATGTAACAGTTCACCATGGCAAAAACTTGGAACTGCAGTTGTTTCGTTGCATGGTTATGTGCATTGCCAGCTTTACTTTGTTTTGCCAATTATTCCTCAAAGTGTATGCTGATTTACACAAGTACTGGAATTACAGGCATGAACAAGGTCTGGTGGAGGCTGATGTAGGAGGATCACCATGAACTTGGGGTCAGTCTGGACTATGTAATGAGTTCCAGGCCAGCTTTGGATACAGGCCTGTCTCACAATCAATCCATCCATCAGCCAACCAACAAGTCAATCAGTCTTAAAGGATTTTATCATTCCTTTCCTTTCTCTCCTCCCTAACCTCTCTTTTCTTTTGTGGTATTGGGGATCAACCCCAAAGTCCTGTGCATGCTAGATAAGTATTCCTCCACTGAGTTATATCTCCAGCCCTTAGATAGTTCAAATATACACAAAAATAGTTTGATTAGTGAAAAAATTGCCATGTGTCTCATCATCCTTCCTCAACAATTATCAACATGTAGCCAGTCTTATTTATCTGCACACTCCCTCCTTTCCCCTGACCTGCCATTCTGAAGAAATCTAAGGTGTTGCACCATTCTATGTGCAGACTCTCATTGTGAATCTCCAGCATGTAAGCCCAAGTAACCTTATTCCACTAGAAAATAAAAGTTCTTTATATTATCTAAGTCAAGGTTTCCGTTTTTCCAGTTCTATAATATTTTTGCATTTGTTTATTCAAATCAAAATCTAAATATCTGTACCTTGTAACTGGCTTCAGTGTGTAGGTTCCCTCCCTTCTCCCAGCATTTGGAAGATGGAAGGGAGGATTAGGAATTTGAGGTCATTCTTGACCACAAAGCAAGTTCGAGGTCAGCTTGTGCTACCCGAGACTCTGTCTCATAAATTCCCCCCCACCAAAAAAAGAAAGAAAAGAAAATATGAAGAAATACAGAAGCAGTTATTAGTTGTTACATGAACAGATTAGAATAATAGAGTCAATATATGTTGAAGAGAGCCCAACCTTTTTTTACTTGTGCTTTGCCTTCCAGTTTGAGCCCTCTGTTTTAATTTTGAGAATTGAGTTCCTAGAAAGAGGCACAAAACTTATTGATATAATCTATGGAATAAAGAAAATAGGTATTTAAAGGTAATATAATACAGTTAAGTGAATGCCTGTCTTTTGAAACTAAATTATTGTTTAAACGGGGCAAGATATTATGGCATAGAAAATGAACATGCTAAAAATTGTACTTGTTTGGTGTTTTATTTTCTGAGTTTTAAAAAATTAAATTAAAATTTGTTCTGTGTGTCTGTGTGTCTGTGTGTGTGTCTGTGTATTGTGTATATGTGTATATAGGCATGTGCATGCTACACTGCTTGTGTGGAGGTCAGGGGACAACTTTTGGAAGTCAGTCCTTTCCTTCCACCATGAGTTCAAGGGATGGAACGCAGGTCATAAGGCTTGTGCAGCAAGTTTTTTTTAACCCTCTGAGCCATCTGGCCAGCCTTTCTCTTAGTCTTTAACTAAAAACTTCCTTTGTGACTAATTTGGTTTCTCTTACAGTTTCTTTATTAGTTTTATAATTAAATAGGATACCATAGTAACTTGTCTATATTATGTTTTTAATAGTTTATTCATATATAAAATATACTAATAAAAATTAATTTTGGATTTTCTACTTTTTTTACAGAAATTATGAGTCAAGGATCTCAAGTCCACATATTTTGGGGTGCTCCAATGGGACCACTGAAAATGACAGTATCACAGGGAGCAACTTCCTTAATGTCCACTGCTGATGCCTGGGAAAAGATCCAACTTCTGTACAGTCAGCATTCTTTACACCTGAAAGCTGAAAATGAGGCGCTCAAAAATCTGAAAGACTGTGAAGTCCTAGATGCTGCTGGTCTTCAAGATCTTAGTGGGCACTTTTTAACAACTTGTGTGAATGGTGCTGTTCAGAGGGAAGATGACTTTATATATTCCTCTTCTGAAACACAGAATATAAAATCCCGGAAGAGTTACCCCTCAGGACTGAGTGATATGACTGACTCTGTTATAGAGATCTGTGGATTTGAGGACAGAGTTCAGCATTTACAAGAAGACTATCAGAAACTTCACTGTGAAAATAAGAAAATTCTAGATGAGCAGTCTAAAAGTCAATCAAATCCATGTGTCCAAAACTTTCAAATAGATTCCTTTCAGTTAGATAATAAATGTGCAGCTATATTGGATTTGGACTGTAATACTAAGCAGATTAATGTAGGGACAGAAGTGGTGGGAACAAAGCATGTGCCAACAGAACATCAAGAAAGACAATATTGGAAGTGTGTTTCCTTTGATACAAAGTATGAACCAGAGTCTGAAGGAGCCGTCAGGAAGGCTTCAAAACTGAAAATATCTACTGATACTGAATTTCTCAGTATTATGACCTCCAGCCAGCTTGCATTTTTAGCTCAAGGGAAGGATACAGGGCAAGACTATATAAATAAAGAGGCTGTAAACATGGAGATTGACCCAACGGGAAGCCATGGAGAAGTAAGACAAACTGAAGATAATTTAATGAAGCCTAGTGATGATTTTGGAGAAGGAGCTGAAAATGGGCAAAGCCAAGTATATTCCCTAGAACTTTTTAGTCCTGTTTGTCCTGAATCAAAAAACAACCACGTTCACACAAATCCTGAAGAAGCTCCTAAAGAAAATATAAGATCTCAAGAACTTTTCAGTAACGAAGAAAGCCCACCACCAAATGAGATAAGCATTGAGTTGTGTGACTCAGGTATACTGTGTTCCCAACTAAATACTTTCCACCAAAGTACTGCTAAAAGAAGCCGGACCTCCAAAGGTATATCCCATCATTCTAAAGCTCTTTCTGAAGTGCCTCAAGTGTCTAAGAAACTGAAGATGGATTCTAATGCAAGAGAGTCAGGCAAAGCAATGGAACAAAAGATTGTGTCTGTACTTACGGATATTAAAAGAATAACATTAATAAAAAACTGTGATTCTAAAAGCCTGAAGTATAATTGTTTAGCCATGGTGCTAGCTCCATGTCATGTGAAGGAAATAAACATAAAATCTGGACCAAATTCTGGTTCTAAAGTGCCTTTAGCAACAATTATAGTAATCGATCAATCTGAAATTAAGAAAAAGGTGGTTCTGTGGAGGACTGCAGCATTTTGGGCACTTACAGTGTTTCTTGGAGATATAATTTTACTTACAGGTGAGGTCATAAAGGTATAGAGGTGATTATTTATAAAGCTTTGGTTTTCTGTTTCTTGTCTCTGACTTTTAAGGCTCTGATCATTCTTTCTTTGTCATTCGCCTTTTCTGGGCACAGTGTGATTGACCCCTTGTAGTGTACTACTCTCCTTCTGCCCTGGGCCTCCAGTCTCTCTTTCTGTGTCCTAGACTGCCTTTCCAGTCATTTTCTCTTTTAAGAAGCCTTCCCTGGTTTCTTATTCATTCATAAAGTAACTGTTGGAGTCTTATCATTGGGCTCCTTTTTGCTCTCTTATGCTTTTGTCTAGACATGTCTTATTAACTCTTTAACTGTGGTAGCAATATTATAACGAAAGGACAATGTTTCTGCTTCTTTATCCAGTAGTGCTGTGTATATTATACTCCTACTGAAGGAACAGATGCAATTTGCTTTGCTTGTTTGTTTGTTTGTTTTGAGAACATCTCATGTAGCCCAGACTGGCCTTGAAGTTGCTATTGTATAGCTGAGGATGACTCCTCATAGTCTTAACTACTTTCCAAATCCTGGAATTACTGGTCTGTGCTGCCATACACTCTTGATTGAGATTTGTGTGTGTGTGTGTGTGTGTGTGTGTGTGTGTGTGTGCGCTGTGTTTGTGTGTTTGCATGTGTATGGGCACAGGTGCATGTATGTGCACATGCATATGGATGTCAGAGGTTGATGTCAAAGAGATCCACCCACTCCTGCCTCCCAAGTGCTGGGATTAAAGGCATGCACCACCACATCCATTTTTATTGCTAAAATGATACAAATAACATTTGGGTATAAGGAAAAGAAAAAACTCCTTGGATTATACTAATTTCATATAAACTCTAATAGAATTTTGGAGTGTTACCTTCCATTTACTTTCTTTATGTGCACACTGATTTATTTATTTATTGAGACTTTACTTTGTATCAGACCCTGTTAATTTAGACTTTGCATGTGTATCTCATTTCTTTTATTATTATTATTATTATTTTATTATTTATTTTGGTCTTTTTTGAGACAGGGTCTCCCTGTAGCTCTAGCCAGCCTGGGAACTCACTATGTAGACCAGGCTGGCCTTGAACTCACAGAGATCCC